ATATCTGTCAGAAATCACATGCTGGAGCACAAGGAACAGGTTGAGGAATGGTCCTCAGGGGGTGGACTAAGGGCTTACTCTGTGAGGGCTAAGGACCCCAGATTGTAGTATTCTATAGGCAGTACAGCCGTTCATTCATTCCACAACATTTCCTGAGTGCCAGCCAAGTGCTAGGCATTGAACTTGATAGGCAGATGCAATGGCAAGCAAAACTGACCAATTCCTGTCCTCAATTCTAGTGGAATTGAACTGGGAAGTGATTTGACTCAACTCTTTAAAGCTGGGAAGGCCTGAACAAGACCAGCAATCACTAGGTGAAAAATGAGAGATTTATTTGTGAACTATTTAGGGGTAAAAGTGAACAAGACTTGATGACTGATTGGATGTCTGGGGGAGGGGGGAGGTAGGTGTCATGGATGGTCCTCAGGTTTATACCATGGATAGATGGGGTTATACCTATTGGGATCAATAACAAGGAAGAATGAGTAGGACGTTGGTCAGAAGACGAAGAGTTTAGCTTTGGACTTGTTGAGTGAGGTGAACATCTTTGCATGGAGAGGGTTTAGCAGGTAGTTGGGCATACAAGTCTAAAGACAAAAGAAAAGATCCAGAGACACAAATTTCGTGGCATATGGGTGAGAACTCAAATTACGGTAGTGAAAGGAACTTCTAACGAAAACATGGAAAGTGATATGAGGACCAGAAGTTATGCCCCAAATTAAGGCATAGATGGAAAAATGACGCAAAAGATGGAGAGAGGAAAAGTTACCAATGGATAACTTTATTCAGGAGGAAGGATAGTTTGGGAAGTTGCAGTTCATCTGTTGGAATATTGGTGGAACAGTAAATGATGAATGATTCAGGTTAGTTCCTTAAGCCTTGGCTGAGTGCTGAGCAGGCACCATACATTGTGCTGAGCCAAGAAAGAACAAGACAGGGAAGATCCAGATATTATCCTTGCCCTGGAGGAGCCTGTGGTCAAGGAGGTCATTGCCTCTATTTGACTACCAGATACCAGTATAATTGCCTTATAAGTAAAAAATACCATTTGACGAATCTTAGCATAGCATCATTAAAAAAACCCTTATTTTCTTCTTTTTTTTTTTTTTTAAGATTTTATTTATTTGACAGAGAGAGATACAGCGAACGAGGGAACACAAGCAGGGGGAGTGGGAGAGGGAGAAGCAGGCTTCCCGCCGAGCAGGGAGCCCGATGTGGGGCTCGGTCCCAGGACTCTGGGACCATGACCTGAGCCGAAGGCAGACGCTTAATGACTGAGCCACCCAGGTGCCCCCCCAAAACCCTTATTTTCAAGCATTCTTGAGAAATGATAGAAGGCATGGGAGTGTTCAAGCCATTGAAGAGAGAAAACATGGGGAGAATCATATGCTTGCTCCACATATTTAAAATGGCTGTCTTTTGGGGCTCCACAACTAGACAAAATGTGAGTGGAAATTAGAGGGAAATGAAACCCGTTTGTATGTTATATATTTGTATATTGACCAAGATCTTCCTGATGGAGCAAAGCCTCTCACTGGCTGCCTGCATTTATGACAAAAGAAATAATGTCTGGAGGACCATCGGGCTCTCAGTATCAGGTTCAAGTGTTGACTCCATGATCTTGAAGGTCTCTCCAGCCCTGGCTTTTCCATCTAGCCCTGTGAGTGTCTCCTAGAGCAGTGGTTCTCAGACTTTTAAAGAATCACATGCCCCTTTGACAATCTGATGAAAAGTTATGGACACTCTCCCCAGGGGAGGAAAATGCAAGTATGTCCATAAACACAGTTATTGCTAAAACAAGCCCCCCCCCCCCACACCGCCCCAAGTCTTTAGGAGGTCTCTGGACTTCAGCTTAGGACCTGTTGTCTTAATGGATTTCCAATAGATGAGAACATAGGCATCGCTTACTCTGAAATTATATACATTGAAGAAAAAAAGCCTCTTTGGGACTTAATTTAGAACCATGACTATGGTTTGCTATACATCTAATGCAATGCATCATTGATTTTATTCTGTCAGCTTTACTTTACAAGTGGCCCTAAGCAACTCACAACTTCACAGATATATGTACATAATTGTATGCACATATTTTATTTTAAAAATAATAATGATGCTGTTTGGCGTAACCACAGAGAGTCACAGAGATATGTTATTGTAACTGAGATTCTCGGGTAGATGGATTTTGGGGGAGTTCTTTCTGATTAGGGCTGTCTTACATATTTATGCCAGAAGAGTTCATGAGCTATTTCTGATACTTAGGCTTTAATCATGCTTAATGAACTGAACTAAACATAATTCTTGTTCTGTTTTGGTAACCTTGTGGATTTCTCCTAATGCTCAGTTTTGTATGACTATACCGTTCTTGAAATGCTAATACGCAAAATGCTAATTCAAGAGAGGACCACAAAAGTTAGATTTCATTTCAGAGAAGGGCATTCAGTATTCACAGGCCTCTCTGGAAGAGCAAGGCTGTGAGAAGAGTGATATTAGGTGGAAAATATTGGCTCCTTCCTTTGGTGAACACACAAATTTAAACATATAGGTTGCACAAAATTTGGATAAACTGAGGTGGAATCCAACATTTCTTGCATGAATGCCTGTATAATGTGGCG